TCATGAATTAAAATTAATAAACAATTACGATAGGGATTTAACCTTAAAATGGGTTTAGCGTGAAAATTCCCATTTTTCTTTTTGTTTTTCCAAAATAATTTCAAAAAGTACTAGGTAGTTTTACTTTCGGTGGTCGCCTAATATAGTTTATCAAYTATATTTTACCAGAAACCACTCTCGGAGTAGAAGATTAAAACACTTTTCTATACTAAAACGTACGTGTGTATAAAACGGCATAAAACAACATACACACWCACTAGTACATCAATCGTTTCACACAGAGTCTAAAAACAGGCGCRGACCTAATCACCTTGCTTYCGAGATTATTTCMTCATCTGTATTGAACGCGCAGTGATTAGATCGACACGTACTAAACTATAACATTATATTGATAAAAATATAAGTAACCAGYATAAATTAGGTAGGTATATAGGTRGAATATTGCACTGTCACATCGACGCAACTGTAAACATTTGAACAAGGAGATGCTAAGCTCCAGTTTTTTGTGACTTAATGGGACCTTACTTTTTAAACAATTTTTTAGGGCGCCGCAGTYATATAGTATAATAATAGTATGATGCATAATACTTTTTAACAATAACTGCAATATTATTGTATTATCCGARAATTCATCCGGAAATACGAAAGTGTTTTAAATGTACGTGTTGTTTTGTCAATAATTTTTGTTTCGAAGGCCTAATAACATGCAATTACAGGAAACCGTCCCTCGATACGCATGCAATGTTTGACAGCTACAAGTATAATCCGAGCTTGATATCATTCCGTATATATATTGTCGTTATAGCTGGTATGTTCATTATACATAACATACACTTTTATATTATGAATATATATATATATATATATATATATGATATATTATAATATATACGCACATGTATGTATATCATAGCGTATCCCCTGCTATGCACCCGAACGGCGCGTGGTGTGCACAAGGCACCCCCGAAGAAATTAAACTTTGACAACCCCCAAGCGTTTCGTGCGTTCAAACAAACGATTACCCGGTCGGTACGTCGAATATCATACTACCTATACATAATAATAATAATATTACGTATTCGTGAGTATAATATTATATCTACGACATATAATATATCTATATACGTCGAATCGCGATTCTTTGCGTATATTTACATAATATTTTACCGTTGTTACTTATTAAGTAGGTAGGTATATCGCATATAATATTATAATATAGTATATGTGAATGTGTTATACTTATAAAATTTGACGTGTTATAAAAAAATATTTAATAACGCATAATACCAGTTATACCTAYTTGTCCTATACCTATACTCTATAGTTGCGTTCGGTTTGTATGTGTATACCGGATGCACCTCTCCCCAACCACGTGCAGTATTCGTATATTATAATRTAGAGCAAAACATCTCGAATAGACGAAGAGGTTACATCATTCAATTATTATGTTATTATAATAACTTTATGCTTTAAATTTTGCTATACATTATGATGGTTTATGTACATAAAATCGAACTAATTATTACCTGTCGTTTAGAATATTATACACCTTTATTTGCCTATGTGTATCCACTCATTATAACATGTAATAAATATAGTAATGGAGGTACAATAACATTATATAGTCCTAATACCTAATATTATAATGATATAAAACTATGCATAATATATATTGTTATTAACTATTGTTTATTGTTTTCGCATTGATTTCTCTCAATGCCATGCCCTTATATATATGATGTTATCGACCTTGTATTCTGCGATTAACTGCAAAAAGCACAGAAATGCATAGTGTACCTACACAATAGTCAATAATGTAGATAATGTTTATATAGAAGTATAATACGAGTAGTGTAACATCGGGTGTATAGTTTGAAACGTATAGGTAAATGCGTAAGCCGTAAATACTGAATGCAATATCACAATACACTATTATTATACAGCAGTTAATATTATAATAAGAGCTGTTTTTTTGTTTTTGTTTTAGGATAATATAGGTAGTAGGTACTACCCTTTTATTGTTATTTGATCTACAAACCTGAGCAACCATCATACTTTRTATTGTTATTATTATTTTTATTGTTTAAAATGATCAACTTTCACCCCAGCTGTGTTACATTTTATAGGTATCTAGATAATAATATAATATATACGCCTATATACAATATCGTCACGTGTGCGATGAAGGATTTTATGTAAGGAAACACGAATATTATAAGATATAATGTATTTTGTTCATTGTTTATAGTGTGGTTTATTATTTTACTTGTTCCGCTTAACTACCAATTTCGATATAATAATAACAAAACTGTACTATATTATATTTTAAGTTACTGTAGGTTTATAGTTTAATACATTTATTATAATTTAGCGATTTTAGACAAAACTAAACTTTAAAATAAAAATACTTTATTTATCATTTAAATTATTGCTTGTATATTATATTTAACTACAAACAATATCTGTATATTATATAATTATTTATTTTAATATTTTATTATATTGAAATACTGTGGGCCTTAGTTAAAAGAAAAAATAAATACATATAAATACAAATAAAAAATCGTGAAGATTAATTATACACCTAACATTATACTAATTATTGATCGAGCTTACAAATTGTTAATTAAATTCTTGAGAACCACTTTACATAATATTAAAATAATTTGGTCATAATACGAAACAATTGAATAAATTTAAATACCGACGAATAATGGTGCTATTAACAATATCATCGTTTATTCAAAACCATCTAACACATTTGATACCTATAATGTAACAAATGTTACTAGTTTCGAATGGGWTATTTTCAAACACAATAACTCGCATTACTAACTTAGACTTATTTTTTGTTCGTAAAATATGATWTTCAAAACACTGATGTTAACTATAATTRTATATAAAACACTAGCATAAATTAAATTTGATTATATTGCTGAATGAACTTCTGCACCAACATGATTTCCCCCCAATAAATTATTGACACGCATATTAATTAATGTAATTAACATAAATCACTGAGAATTTTGAACTGTAAAAATATTTAAATCGTTAAGATATCAAAAATATTATAGGTAGGTAATTAAACCGGCTATAGCTATAGCTATATTTTAACATAAACAACGATAATAAAATATTATTTAATGATGAATTTAGATCTTTGCGCATAACGATAGTAAAAATAATTTAAAAAACTTATATTATTAAATATTTTATTTTTAAGGATCATACCGTAGTAATAAATAAGTAAAAGTTTTAGTTGGAATATTAATCAGCTCTTTATCGTTTTCCGGCTAACCGTATTTTTAGTAAACAATTGTGCATACAGTGCGTTCTACCTTCTATAATAATGTTATATAATATGTTTATATTACATTATTAATATTAGGTACAGCATTGTTTGTATGTGGATTGATAACCAGCTCATGTTTTTACTATCAACAATAATTATTAAACCTTTAAAAATAATAGTTGCACATTTATCGAAACGATAATTAAGAAGTTTGTGATAACTTATACTAAGTAATAACTAATAACAGTAATAAATAATAATGTATTATAGAAATCTAGAAAAATGTTAACACCATACGTTTTATTGGCACTCGTATTAGTATGCTATATCTTCACTGAAAATAAAATAAAATGTAATCTCATTTAATCCTCTTTCCTACATAGTAAATTAATTTCGATAAGTCTGCTACTAACAATTCGATATAGTCAATGGAGGGGGGGAGGGGGCAGAGAACATTTTTAAATCTTTTGAATTGTTTAATTTAACTTCCTGCAATATTATAAAAATCAATCTGAATACGTTTGGATTTTCATTGAATAAATGTAACTATTTCTACTTTCGTTCTCTATTGTTTATAATATATTATGAATAAATCTTAAAAGTAAAACACTTTATTTTACAGTTGTATACACGTATATTCATTTAGATAAAATCGCGAACACGAACGTTTAAAAAGTAAAACTCGGTCAGAAACTCAGAACTGTATACCTATATATGTTTTTTTTCGTTCATGTATATTTTTATTTTATTTTTTTGTAGGTATCATAAAAACATCTTAAATGTATAATTATATTCTATAAGTATACTTAAGTATCTAATAAAATACTATGCAATAAAATATTGTCAATCAACTAACCTCAAAACTTTCACTTACTTGCCTCTTGCATTCACCATGATCAAATTAATTCAGTCCTTTTTTCATTTACCTACTTAATGTTAATGTTGAACCTGCAGCTTATGTTTATTATTGAGTATATATTTTTTCAATATCAGTGATGTTTTAATAACATTATAAAGTATATTATTTTCAGATTATTAAATAAAACAGATACTTGATAATACATTTCATAACGTCTATAGATACACAGCATTATATTATTATTATATGGAATAGAAAGAGGTAAAATACGAAYTAGTTTTTAAAATTGTATGTACAGTTATACCATTCAAACAATTTTTTTTTCGTTRTAGGGGTTTGGAATCATTRACAAAATGACTAACTGCTCGTTGTTTAAAATAATGAATCTAAAAGGATTACGTGCTATTAATAGATATACAATGTAAGTATTAAATTGAACTATATATTATATTTATTTTACAATTGTTGATATTCAAATGTACAGAGTATTATTATTTATTTTGAATATGTATTACAATATCCGTTTCGAAGTCTTCAAAACATCTCAAAACTGTTATTATTATTATCGCTGCAATCGCCAATTGTTTATAATTTACTATAAAATTATACATATATTATATATAAGAATTTTTTCTTTTTTTTATTATTAGCTTTTTGTAGTTTAATAATTATTCAAACATAACRTTTATGCAATCGACTATAAAATAATTAAAGCCGTAACAAAACGCTTTATACAATCACTGTATCAATTCAGTACAACACAATTTAGGAGACAGGAGAAGTATAGTTTGCCAACAAATGTCCAAAATCTCATGTGAAGTCAATAATATGATCAGTTACATAATTTCTCACGCATTACGTCGCGTAGGCAGTAGGCACATCATAAGTACTATTAACTATTAACTGAGCATGTTGATTTGTTTTCTATTTCAAATTGTAATTTTTTGTAAACCCAGCAAATACGAATATCAAGCAGAAGTGTTTAACTGCTAAAATATGTTACCGAATATAGAGGTATTTACTATAATATTATAGTACTTATCATGCGTCACCCTCCGACTTTTTAGACCATTGGATTTTTTTCAGTTAAATGTACTATAATGTTTACCACGCAACTAAGTAGGTCATTTTAGAACGAGTGGCCATGACCTCTAGGTCTTTAAGTCTATGGTTTTTTCGTGCAACATAATATAATGAATGAAAACAGTTTTAATCTTTGAACGATTAAATAAACCACCCTAAAATAAGGTGTATTACACCTTMAAGGTATACCTACTTGTATGACCATTGTRTGATCATTGTAAAACGCGTTGTATAATGTATAGATAATGCTGATAATAGAATAATAATAATAATAGTTGCTATTAATATAAATTATTATTATTGTCKCCGCGAGTTTCGAATTTATTATATAATTAAAAAATAATCTGCCATTTGAGTGAACTGTATGGTCGTAGGTTAGGTACTGCATTAGTAATTGGTATATCACAACACGTGTTTTTTTTTTTGCTAGATATTTATTTACATTTAAGTGCAGGTATTACTGATATGACGGGAACGTTCAAACGTGAAGGATATAATGTATTTGTACCAAGTAACGTAAGGAATTATTAATTAYTTAAATAGAAGGTAGATTTGGTGATTTGTCTGAAAGTTTTAAAATAAGGAGTGTGATCGAGCTTCTTAATAATTTAAACATGTTTACTCAAGACACAGAACAGAAAAAAAATGATAGTTGGTTTTATTAATAGTTAATTATCCATTATGATGTTGTATCATTAATTGTAATATAACGGAAAAAAGGCTTAATCTTTTTTACTACTTAATATTACAGTAGACCAGGGGCGTAATTAAGGGGGGGGTGAGGGGGATATATCCCCCCTAGAGCCTATATAATGTGTATATTTATAATATATTAATTTGAAGCTTATGGAATTATATGTTTTATCGTGCTGACATCACGACGAAATATATTAAATATAATTAATATCAAGAAATCTATAAATTATTATTTAATTTAAAAGTAAATTTTAATTCTAATATATTCAAAATGTACATTTTGAAG